TACCCAGATGTCCTCAAGGACACATGGCACAGTGGATAAAGCGTTGGTTAGATCCAATGACAGGACCCAAAGAGTATGAGTTCAATACCCGGTTAAGGCAGTGGAGAACTTTCAGAGGGAAATTAGCAGGAGATAACTGATAAGTGACATCCATCAAACATGGCACGTGGAATTAGAACAGTCTACCCCAGTGAGCGAAATAAAGGGTTCGGTTCGACATTCCAACAACCTGAAGAAGGCCGGAGCGTACAACGGCCGAAACGTTGTGATAGATATGGCGAAAAAGATGCGGACAATAGTCCGAATAATGTAAATAATGTACATAATACCTCATCTCAGAAATATAGACAGACTCAGTTTTACCTGATGTCTCATCTGCGTTTATAAAATAATATCGTGTTTTTCGACGCAGTTTTAATTGAGAATAGAAATATCCTCTTAAAATTCGCATTTCTTGCTAATCCAAAAAGATAATCATATAGTCTATAAGACATTACATTTTTCACAAGACATTATCTTTTTATATACTTATTTCTACCATCCTCAATTATAATTGCAACCAAATATTCAATCTCTTTTCGCCGAGAAAGAAATACGGATCCCGTGAATATAAAAGCCAGCTTGTAAATTCTTTTTAATTTTCTTTTACTTTTTCTACCGTTTTGTATTTCGAAGGATTGTCTCTTCTTTAATTGCGTATTTATTTATCCCAGGCCTACATTCATATTTAACTATAGATTTTCTCGCGCGAATACAACTTTAGATTGGTTAATTTTGTTTCATGCCGAAATCTCAATATTTTGAACACAATTTTATGGCTTCAACTAAATATATTTTGAAAGCAATTGTATGCCTTCAACTAGAGACAAAATGTGTTGTTGACAATTTTACTATTAACTGGTATTGTTTCTACTTTTACTATAATTATGGGTTGTTGATAATTTTATTATAAATATATATTGTTGGTACTTTTTATGTAAAATATATTGTTAGAATTTTTATAAGTGTAATTTTATACTTTTATCGAATTTTGATTTTGTTTGGAAATTCTCTATTTGCCCATAGCCAGGAATCTAAGAGGATGAACCTAAGAGCAACTGCAATTAAGAGGTGGTTCCACTCTCTTCAAAACCTTCACTCTCCCGATCAGATGCCTTGCTGCCGGATGTAGTTTATTGTCAAACCCAGGATTAAAGATTAAGAACCACAGTTTCAGTCACTACAGAAATATTTTCTTCACGACAAATGTAGAAATTAATTGTGACGCCAATGAGATTATTTTATAAGGCTTGTTAATTTTAACATCTCCAAAACGAATTCCTTTCTATTAATCGTATGAGAAAACTCTTTCTACCTTCCATCAACATGACTGATGCTGACCTCTAGAGAGTGACTCGTTGCACCCTCTCGGCGTATTCCGCTGACACGAGGTGAAAAGATTATATTGAATCAAATGTTTGGTCTGTTGCTATGAAAGTTGGTTTAACTGTGTCGTGCTAAAATACTTTTTCTCGACCGAATCTATCTGATATATCTATAAATCTGCCATTCGTCCATGCTTTGGACGAATGGTAGACTTGTTGTGGACGAATGGCAGGAAATTGTGGACAGCCATGATCGCCCCCCCCTACCTGAAGAGACACTGTGCATAGAGGGTCAAATACGAGATGACAGATCAACCCCACGTCCTACTATTTTCGTTCACCTTTGACCTTTTTTCGACTCCATCTCAACACCTAATAGTTAACGTTTAAAAGATTTCTCGGCCTGTTCCACAAATCTCTCGTAAAATACATATCCCGAGAGAAACGCTATAGGTAAATAAAGACAGGTGATCTAAGTATTTATGCTATACTGAAAAAATGCAGTTTAATGTACCGTATATACTCGAGTATGGGGCGAGTTTTTATGATCAGTTTTTTTTTCGAGTTTCTTTTATCTCCCCGCTTTCTTTGTCGGAATTACTGAATATAACACGATAGAAAAATATACATGAAAAGGACTTGATGTGCATGTACATATCTATATGCATATTTTCATACGACAGAAAACGACATAAGTAGCCTTAATAAAACAACGTATATAATAAGACGTGCCAACTCCAGAACGATTGCAATTAACAAGAAATTATCCAATCTAACAAAATGTGTCATAATTCCTTACAAAAACGAACACAAAACAAAATGACATTAAACCTGAAGTAAGAATTTACAAAATATATTGAAAAAAATCGCAAGAAGTACATAAGTGATACATCTTGGAATCTAAATAAAAGATTATTTGAACATAAAAGGTGTCTTTTACTAAGAAATATGCTCAGTATGTTAGTCATTTATAATTTCGATCTAAGGAAGGTAGTTTTGATTAAAAGAGAAATTGATTTATTAAGGCGAAAATATATTGAAAGTTCAATAATTTCGGTGTTCCCTACGATAAGTTTGCATCAAGAATCATCGAGCACCTGTCTATTCTGTACAAAATTACTAAGAGCACAATAATGAATAATTAAAAACAATAATTGTAAAATAAAAATAAAAGATCGACCTCCCACTGTATTTATATAATGAACAGGATTCTGCTTTTAAAATCATGAAAAAAAGGATTCAATAATTTCGGTTCTGCTAAAGATCATTGCCTGAGGAGATCCGAACCAATGGTTATCTACAAATAATATGTATACGGCCGCATCACGTTTAAACATTTGCCTCAATTCGATAACCGAAATTAATCAACGTCGAGACGGGGCAGTATCTGGATGGGTGACCGGTTGGGAATACCAGGTGCTGTAATTTTGGGTGTGCGGCTGGTGTCATGTTATAATGGCTTGGGATCGGAGAACTGAGTTCCAGTTCTCATTGAGTTCGTTATATTAACTTATACGCAAATACCCTTGGAAAATGTATGAATCCACCTCTTCTCCCCCAGCTATGGCTTAATTCGTAAGACGTGTATCACTAAAACATTATTATCTAAAAGAGAAAATATTTTTACAATCTAGAAATATTTTCTGACTTTAAATAACCTGCAAAGGGTTGATAACTGTAAAAAAAAGAACCATTTAATATATATTATAATATTATTTAAAAATAAAAAAATATATATTATTTAAAAATAATATTAAATATGTTCCCTATTTGTTTACGAGCGGACAAGACAAAGTAACACTATGTTAACAACTGATTGCCCAAAGATGGTAAAAAGGATAATTCAGGTTTTGCTCAAAACTAATTCCTCGTTCCTGTCTGTGTGGTTATTAAGTTTAGCTTAGTTTTTGGCATCAGGCCATAAGTATGTACAGACGTTCAACTAAAAACAACTAAATGACTAACCATTTAACCAGGTCGAGGTGTCTAAGACGATTTGAGTAGCTACAATGAAAATCAAGAGTAATTAAGAGCAAAACATACCAGTAAAAATTACTACTAATACTACAGGTGTATGCAAAAAAAAAAGAAAAGAAAAAAAGAACAAGAAAAAAAAGGAAAAAATTAGTATGTGTCATCGAGTGATCGGCAAAAGTAAAGAATTACTTTATATCTCTAGCAGATTAAGAAAGGCTTTCTGAAGTAAAAAGTAAATACGTCAAGAATTTATTCTTTATAAAATATCCGAACTGTTAAAAAAACGACTATAGATTGACGGTTTGAGTAGTTTTAGTGAAAAGCAACTGGCATTAAGATGAAGGCAATACTATCCAAAAATTCATAATGCTGGACAAAACTTCCTTTTAGGAAATTTCAAAAAGATATGACTTAGATGATAACTAATTTTCTTAATATTTATAAATCATTAAGAATGTCGCTGCTTGTCATCGATACTAAATTTCCAAATGTCACACATTTGAAAAACATCGCTGTAAGCACATTATTTGGATTAAATAAAGACATTTGGCAAATGGCTTTTCCAAGTCATTTTCTTGAATAAATTTCTATATATGTTTTTATATCATTTAGAAAAATATACAGTGAAATATAATAATGTTTAGCGCTATTTATTATTAATAATTATCAATCATAAATTTCAGTGTATAATGTTGAAACTACTGAAAATGATCAATTCAAATATTTTCATTCATATACACTGTAGTAAAAACAACCAGTTAATAAATTTATATCAAAGCTATATTGCACTTTCCACTCGTCTACTGACAGATATTACGGGGTGCTTTTTATACCTGTTAAATCTTAAAGGGAGGTAACTGATAATTTATCATCTAATGTTTTACTATTACGACTTATTTAATGGTAGAGAAATTTAAGTGTAAGGAAGATACTAGAAAATAATTTTTCTTACGACTTTCGTAAATTGTTCGGATTTTGGCAAAAATGAAAAGGGAATAAAAGGATATTGTCATGATGTTTGACTCCTGTTTTGGTTAGTAAAATATACAGATATACATCATAACAACAAAGTGAGGCATTTATACATAAATATATAAGGATTTATTATCGGAAGGATTTGGTTGTTCGGTAGATATATAAAAGTTCTTGTAATGTGGTTGTTAAATGTTTCTGATATTTGTGTTTGTCTTGGCGAATGAATGAATTATTTTGCCGGTGATAAGTCTATCATTCAAAAGATCATATTCAACATGAAAATGTGATATTCGAGTAGAACTTATCTTTGGTCTTCATTTACGGAGCTGCCCAAACTCCCGTGCTCTCTTGGAGAGTTGGTCGTTGAAAAGCGAAAGATTCTAAATTCTCCGCAAGTAAGGCGTTTTCATTTTACTAGGGAATCATGGGAAATAAGTTGCTTTTTTTATTTTTAGGAATCGTGAGATTACTACACAATTTTTATTTCTCGTGATCGTGAGATCACAACAATATCGATATCAGCTTGTTAATTTTCAATGCCTTTCAGATTGATTTTAAATAATATTTTCTTCCAGTCTTTGCATATTTCACCTTTCATTTCTTTGCCTTCGCAAAATTTTTACCATTACTTTCAGCATTAATCTTTCTTTCTTTGTATTCCTCTATTTGGTTTCTTTGTTAAAGTTGTTCTTTCTTCTGCTCATGTTATACAGGATACAACGGACATCTTTCTTTCCTCCTTTATATTCTTCTATCTATTTATCTATCTATCCTCACAGTCATATTTTCCTTCTTTCTTTTTCTTTATTTCTTGCCCCAGTCCTTCTTTTTTCCTTTCCTTTTCTTTCTTTCATTTTTTCTTTTTTATTTCCACACAGTCATCTTTCTTTCTTTCTTTCTTTCTTTCTTTCTTTCTTTCTTTCTTTCTTTCTTTCTTCACAGTCCTCTTTCGTTTTATCTTTCTCTTTTCTTTCTTTCTTTCTTTCTTTCTTTCTCTCTTTCTTTCTTTCTTTTTTCACAGTCATTTTTCTTTCTTTCTTTTCCCCACTTTCATCTTTCTTTGTGCCGTCATCATTTAGTCCGTTTTCTCTTTTTCTTCGACATTCATCTTCCTTACCGTTTGACAGTAAAACATTTATTTTTCTATTTCTTTCTATTCTAACGTATACATGATCTATTTAGCCAGTTAAAAGAACAACCAACATTTCACTCACAAATGCATTGAGAATAAAACAGAAAAGACAAAGAATAAAAACAATAAACCCAATCAAACCAAACAAAAATGAAATAATAAAGAAAATTGGAAGAAACAAAGCGTAATGCAAATATTGGTTGGCCCTAACTAACTCCAGTTTCTACTACTGAATATAATACATCAAATATTAGAAAAAGCAACAAAGCAGGAAAACAATTACAAAAGTTCTAATAATAATTGACAAGCAATACATTACAGTTTTCTGAGATTACAGAGTTACCTCCCCCTGTTCAGTGGTGTGCGCATGCGTGTATCGTCTGATATGCCGACGTGATCAGTGATTGTATTTAATTTTTTTTTTCCCCAATTTTTTGAAACGCCATTCTCTTTGCCCGACCTTTCAACCGACCGTTGCTTTGTCCTTTTTCGCCGTTCTGTCACTTCTTCACCCTTCATCCGTACCATTAAGTTGTCATACAATAATCCATATCATTGATGGCAGGAAACGATTCTAATGGTGTTCCATTATCTTGTTACCGCTTCGTATATTTTGATGACTCAACCAGACAAACGTGAAACCAATATATGCAGATTAAAAAAAGATATATATGTATGTATGTAACAACAACAACAACAAAAAAAAAATGATAATAAAAGGCAACGTGGGGATAAAGTAAGGCATGAAAAATAATAATGATGAAAAGAAAATTCAGAATTTCGTATGACCTGTCTGATGATTTTTCATCCCATTTGAGAACTAAAATACAAAGCAAAATCAAACAAACGCAATAATAATAACTAGTAATACCTTTGAAAATTACACAGTGTTACTGTTTTTCATTGAAATTAATAGTTTTGAGGTTTCCTAACCTCGTGGAATATACAGTGTAACCCGGATGTAAGAGAGTTGTCGGGACCGGAGAAGAAGTCTCATATATCCGGGTTTCTCTTATATCCGGGTTTGGTATATTTTTATACATTAACACAAGCTCTAATTTGAGACCAGAGAAAATCTCTCTTATATCCGGGTTTCTCTTATATCCGGGTCTCATATCCGGGTTACACTGTATAAATTTTAATGATCGCTTTATATCATAATTACAGTTATATTATTTCGTAGTAACAGTGGTTATAACGTTCGTATTCTAACCATGGGACCCGGGTTCGAATCTCATCATGTTCTGTTTGCCAGGAAGTAGACTTCCTGATGTTATCGGACTGGAGGGGTCGATCCCAGCGTGCGGTAAGTGCCTGAAAACCTTACCACGGGTTGACCCAAGCCTTGTAAGTGAAATTGAGTAGACGGAACACTTGGGAGCCGTCGATAGATGTACTAACACGAAGTCACAAGTCATCGTGACCGAGGGATTGAGTGTACTGGCCTTGTTCAAATTGTTGATCACGCTCTCTCCCAGAAATTGTAACTAAGGTCTGCTCAGTATAGTTGTAGTATAAACCACAGGTGTGCTCTGTGGGTTTGAACAAACACATATGTGCCTGAGCTAGCGTCTACAATAGGGATTAGTTAGCCGCCCTTGTAGATGGGTATCCTCGAATACGAGTGGCCAGCTATACATACATACATACATACATATATATATATATATATATAGAGAGAGAGAGAGAGAGAGAGAGAAAGAGAGAGAGATAGATAGATATTTCTTTTTTTTATAAAAATAATTATATCTGCTCTACAAAATGGCTATTTTTGTAGTGATTTTATAACATATTTATGTTATAAATTTTTTCTTTTTTTATAAAAAATAATTATATATATATATATATATATATATATATATATATATATATATATATATATATATATTTTTTTCGTAGTTATATCTCCTTGATATTTTGACAGAAGAAACAACGATACAGTAATCATGGAAAAGCGTAACGGTCATGCGAACTAACTAAGGAATTAACTAACAAAGAGCACGCTTTCCCAATCTGAATTTTTTAAGGAATTTTAATTCTAAAGTCAATGATTGAATGAGCTCATGGAGACTTCTACGACAATAAAATATCCGTAGACATCTCATCATTAAATATTGGTGCAAAACAATTTTAGCAAAACATTGCAAGAACAATAATGAAAAGTTTTGAAATTGGCAACTTTTTCTATTTCACTGATACAAACTTTTAACACTTCTTTCTTTCTGGCTGAAACCAAGTAGCGTCTTTGATATGTCTTTCCACACAATAAAAATGGAATAGTCCAGTACTTATGAGGCATTAGCAGGAAACGTTAAACACAGATATCTATCTTTCTTTCGTTCATTTTTTCATTGAAACCAAGTAGCATCACTCATATGTATTTTCAGTCTTCTTTCATTGTCAAAACGGAGTAGTCCATTATTTTTTAGGTATTGGCAAGGTGTAACGGTCGTGCGAACTGACTAATATCCTAACAAGGAACCAGAAGAATTATTATATAATGAAATGATGATGATGATATGATGATGATGTTGGTGTTGATGGTGATGAAGATGGTATAATAATCATTGCAGAATATGTGGTAAATTTGATGAAAATATAACACACATTCTGAGTGAGTGCCCAAGTTTAGCTCAAAATGAGTATAAAAGGTGGAGACACGATCAAGTTGCTAAAATCATTCAATGGAAAATATGCGAGAAATTGTTTCACCAAGACAAAGAATGGTACTGTCATAAACGTCAGAATGTCCTTGAGGGCTGATCAACTTTAGTCCGTCATTATTCGAGAAGAATTATTTATTATTATACATTTGAATGCTTGTAAAATGTTAATACAACAATTTACCAATAGAAAATGTAAATATCGCAATTTCCAAATGTTTGTATATGGTGTTTGCAGTTTTTTGTTTGAATATTTTGTGTTTGAAAAACTTGAGTCTGTTTTCGGAAGATATCTTTATAAGCTGTATATCTTTACTGTATTTTTCAAGACTTACGGCTTTATATAAATAAAGAAGACTTAATAAAGCATCATCAATATATTGGAAATATGTTTATTGTTTCGGTAAAATATTTTTGAAAAGAACAGTCTAAGAGGCAATTACAAAGGTAATCCGAAGTTTTTCTTTCCAAAATCATTGTCGAAATTGAAATTCTATTGGTTTGTGATGAGTCGAAAAATTTTAATAATTTTACCTATTGGTAGAGAGAGGTTAATTTTTTTTTTATTGTACTCTCGCTGCTAATAGATAACATTATAAAAAATGTTGGTTTGTTACAAACCGATGTTATTTCACTTCCGACAACGATTTTTGTAATCCAAATTTCGGATTACCGAAAGAAAATAGACAGGACATTTTTAAGTAAATGTTTTTGTTTATGTGCTTTTCATATTTAAAAATTGAAGCATTAAACCAGGTGCCATTAGATATATACGTATTTCGTCTCCACAACAAATAAAAAAAAAACAGAATTTAAAAATCGTAAGAACTCCATATCATTATACTTCCCACAAATTCTGATGAGGCTAAATAAATAGCGAAATATGTTAAATTTATAAAGCTTTTTCTATTTGTCTCTTACTTAATCTATATTTTCAACTCATATCTTCTTATCAATATATATATATATATATATATATATATATATATATATATATATATATATATATATATATATATATATATATATATATATATATATATATATATATATATATAATGTGTGTGTGTTCTCTCGATCAATAACAGTGCATTGTAGGAATTTTGCTTCAGCTCACCGAACTTTGTTCCTTTTTCATAAACAATGATTATATGAATTAAACCTGAATGCAGTTTTCAGTTTTTGTTGTTTTGATGTCGACTATAAAAGTTTTTAAAATTCCAATAAATATATAAAAAGAGGAACTGATTTTTATCAACTGATGATTTATTATCCATTAACGTTAGGAAGAATATCAACGCATGCATTGTGGAAAACAGTGTAGCTTCTCTTTCAGAAAACAAAATTAAAAAATAAAATACCCAAATAAATTATCTCTTGTATTCAGTCAATAGTTGTGCATTGTCCTGAACGAGGTTGAAGTTTATTATGATCAAAGTCAATGATCAAAGTCAATGATCAAAGTCAAACAAATGATTCCCAAAGAGTAAGAAATCACTGATATAGAATCAGAGAACAAGTAACTTTCACCACTAATAATTATTACTTTCCTATTCCTAAAAATCCAAATTTTGCACGATTCACATGTTAAATAGGAATAAAAACTCACTAAAAAACAGGGATTAGTAGACATTCAGTGTATAAGACAAATAGGGATTTAAAAATATGATACAGGTTATGCCATTTATATGTATATATATGTATGTATGTATATAAATATGTATGTATATATATGTATGTATATATATATGTATGTATATATATATGCATGTATATATATATGTATGTATGTATATATGTATGTATGCATGTATATATATATGTATGTATATATATATATATATATATATGTATGTATGCATGTATATATATATATATATATATATATATATATATATATATATGTATATATATATATATATATATATATATATGTATGCATGTATGTATGTATATATATATATATATATACATATATATCTGTATGCATGTATGTATATATATACATATATATATGCATGCATGTATATATATATATATATATATATATATATATATTGTTTACTAGCTTAAATGTCACTCTATCGAGCTGGCTGCCGTTTGATCTGAGATTTCAGTTACACTGGTCTTTCATTTCTTCGCTGCAGCCTTGACCCTTTTGGTGGACATTTCTTTTTGGGAATAACAACAGAACAGTATAATATAAAACGCAGAAGAACTCAAAATTGATCGTGGCATTAATATTTTAAATGTTCAACGATATTTTTTCTGCCGCCACTCAATT